TTTATTTTATATGATATTTGTATTTGTAGGATTCCTGGAATGGCAAGAAAATCATCGTCACTTTCCCAAGGAAATGTGCATCGTGTGAATTATGTCTAATTGCAAAATTTAAAAGAGTTCAAGTGTAATTGAACCTTTTTAATGTGTGAGGGCCAAATTGCTTTTTCATCAAAACTTAATAAGTCTATTTGACCATTTTCCCTAAATTTTTCCATTTTGTTTTGGAATAGTTATATTTTAGGTTTTTCTTAAAGGGAAATAATTTAAGCGACCACAGTGGGAATCGAGAACCCACGACCTTCTGATCCGATTTCAGACGCGCTAATCCACTACGCTATGCGGTCATACATTTATACTTTTAAACTAATCTTGTGACTTTAGAATATTTAATCATTGTTATCAACAAGTGCACGTATACGTCGAATATGCGCCGCGCAGTGCATATACAATATATCTTTTGATAACAATTGACACCTTGCTCGATATATTAGTTGCGGCCTATATATACATTTTTTAAAATTATATAAAGTTATGAACTATATATTTTTATATTTAATAATATTATAATTATAAAATAAAAATATTTCATATAAATTATATTAATGTTAAATAAAAGTTAAATAAATTATAATTATATCACAAATTACAAAATTAAAATATAGTAATCATTTTTGAAAGCAAAAAATCATTGTGGAATTAATAACGAAGTTAGAATGAAGTCAAGAGGAACAGAGTCTCAGTATATAGTGTTAGCTTGAAAAAGCAACCCTTTTTTTCTACCTATAAATGATGGCAGGCCCAAATACCTTCCAAAATTGTCAGCGTTGGGCACACCAAGCAGCCCCGCAACCTGATCACGTGTATCCTCCATGGTATTCCTACTAAAAGAGATATTGAATTTATGGAAATATAATTATCTAAACATATTATATTTGAATTATTATTTTTAGATTACGAAAGAACTTTACAAACATTATATAAGGGTAAATCTCACATCTAAGTAATATCAAGTAAAGAAAACAAGATAAATCATTGTAAAAGACCATGTGTGACAAAAGAAGGTGTTGGCAGTAATTGTAAGATTTAGGAAATCTGCATCGTGTAAAGTTTTTCCTTTTTGTTGGGGAAGAGTTTATGTTTTAGGATTTTTCCTTTTTGTTGGGGACGTGTAAAGTTTTTCCTTTTTGTTGGGGAAGAGTTTATGTTTAAAGTTTTAAGATTAAAGTTTTTCTTAAAGAGAAATAATTTAATCAACTACAATGGGAGTCGAACTCACGACCATCTAATCCGAAGTCAGACGCGCTAATCCACTGCACTATGCGGTCATACATATATACTTGTAAACTAATATTGTTAATTTAGAATATTTAATCATTGTTGTCAACAAGTGCACGTATATGTCGAATATACGCCGCGCAGTGCATATACAATATATCTTTTGATAACACTTGAGACCTTGTACGATATATTAGTGGTAACCTATATATACATTTTTATAAATTATATTAAGCTATGAACTGTATAATTTTAAATTTTATAATATTATAATTATAAAATAAAAATATGACAAATAAATTATATTAATGTTAAATACAAGTTAAAAAATTATAATTATATCACAATTTACAAAATTAAAATATAATTATCTTTTTTGAAAGCCAAAAATCATTGTGGAATTAATAACAAATCTAGAATGAGGTCAGGAGGAACAGAGACTCAGCACATAGTGTAAGCATGAAAAAGTAACCCTTTTATTTCTACCTATAAACGATGTCAGGCCCAAATACCTTCCAAAATTGTCAGCTTTGGGCACACCAAGCAGCCCCGCAACCTGATCACGTGTATCCTCCATCGTATTCCGACTAAAAGAGATATTGAATTTTTGGAAATATAATTATCTAAGCGTATTATATTCGAATTTTTATTTTTAGATTACGAAAAAACTTTGCAAACATTATTTAAAGGTAAGTCTCACATCTATGTATTATCTTGTAAAGAAAAAAGATAAATCATTGTACAAGACCATGTGTGACAAAAGAAGGTGTTGGCAGTAATTGTAAGATTCCAGGAATGGCAAGAAAATCATCTCTACATCGTGTAAAGTTTAAAGTTTTTCTTAAATGGAAATAATTTCAACAACCACAGTGGGAGTCGAACCCACGACCTTCTAATCCGAAGTCAGACGCGCTAATCCACTGCGCTATGCAGTCAAACATATATACTTTTAAACTAATATTGTTAATTTGGAATATTTAATCATTGTTGTCAACAAGTGCACGTATATGTCGAATATACGCCGCGCAGTGCATATACAATATATCTTTTGATAACACTTGAGACCTTGTACGATATATTAGTTGCGACCTATATATACATTTTTATAAATTATATTAAGTTATGAACTGTATAATTTTAAATTTTATAATATTATAATTATAAAATAAAAATATGACAAATAAATTATATTAATGTTAAATACAAGTTAAAAAAATTATAATTATATCACAATTTACAAAATTAAAATATAATTATCTTTTTTGAAAGCCAAAAATCATTGTGGAATTAATAACGAATCTAGAATGAGGTCAGGAAGAACAGAGACTCAGCACATAGTGTTAGCATGAAAAAGTAACCCTTTTATTTCTACCTATAAACGATGTCAGGCCCAAATATCTTCCAAAATTGTCAGCGTTGGGCACACCAATCAGCCCCGCAACCTGATCACGTGTATCCTCCGTGGTATTACGACTAAAAGAGATATTGAATTTATGGAAATATAATTATCTAAGCGTATTATATTTGAATTTTTATTTTTAGATTACGAAAGAACTTCGCAAACATTATCTAAAGGTAAGTCTCACATCTATGTATTATCTTGTAAAGAAAAAAGATAAATCACTGTACAAGACCATGTGTGACAAAAGAATGTGTTGGAAGATTTTTTATTTTATATGATATTTGTATTTGTAGGATTCCTGGAATGGCAAGAAAATCATCGTCACTTTCCCAAGGAAATGTGCATCGTGTGAATTATGTCTAATTGCAAAATTTAAAAGAGTTCAAGTGTAATTGAACATTTTTAATGTGTGAGGGCCAAATTGCTTTTTCATCAAAACTTAATAAGTCCATTTGACCATTTTCCCTAAAATTTTCCATTTTCTTTTGGAATAGTTATATTTTAGGTTTTTCTTAAAGGGAAATAATTTAAGCGACCACATTGGGAATCGAGAACCCACGACCTTCTGATCCGATTTCAGACGCGCTAATCCACTACGCTATGCGGTCATACATTTATACTTTTAAACTAATCTTGTTAATTTAGAATATTTAATCATTGTTGTCAACAAGTGCACGTATACGTCGAATATGCGCCGCGCAGTGCATATACAATATATCTTTTGATAACACTTGACACCTTGCTCGATATATTAGTTGCGGCCTATATATACATTTTTTAAAATTATATAAAGTTATGAACTATATATTTTTATATTTAATAATATTATAATTATAAAATAAAAATATTACATATAAATTATATTAATGTTAAATAAAAGTTAAATAAATTATAATTATATCACAAATTACAAAATTAAAATATAGTAATCATTTTTGAAAGCCAAAAATCATTGTGGAATTAATAACGAAGTTAGAATGAAGTCAGGAGGAACAGAGTCTCAGCACATAGTGTTAGCATGAAAAAGCAACCCTTTTTTTCTACCTATAAATGATGGCAAGCCCAAATACCTTCCAAAATTGTCAGCGTTGGGCACACCAAGCAGCCCCGCAACCTTATCACGTGTATCCTCCGTGGTATTCCTACTAAAAGAGATATTGAATTTATGGAAATATAATTATCTAAACATATTATATTTGAATTATTATTTTTAGATTACGAAAGAACTTTACAAACATTATCTAAGGGTAAAGTTTAGGATTTTTCCTTTCTGTTGGGGACGTGTAAAGTTTTTCCTTTTTGTTGGGGAAGAGTTTATGTTTAAAGTTTTTCTTAAAGGGAAATAATTTAATCAACCACAGTGGGAGTCGAACTCACGACCATCTAATCCAAAGTCAGACGCGCTAATCCACTGCGCTATGCGGTCATACATATATACTTGTAAACTAATATTGTTAATTTAGAATATTTAATCATTGTTGTCAACAAGTGCACGTATATGTCGAATATACGCCGCGCAGTGCATATACAATATTTCTTTTGATAACACTTGAGACCTTGTACGATATATTAGTTGCGACCTATATATACATTTTTATAAATTATATTAAGTTATGAACTGTATAATTTTAAATTTTATAATATTATAATTATAAAATAAAAATATGACAAATAAATTATATTAATGTTAAATACAAGTTAAAAAAATTATAATTATATCACAATTTACAAAATTAAAATATAATTATCTTTTTTGAAAGCCAAAAATCATTGTGGAAATAATAACGAATTTAGAATGAGGTCAGGAGGAACAGAGACTCAGCACATAGTGTTAGCATGAAAAAGTAACCCTTTTATTTCTACCTATAAACGATGTCAGGCCCAAATACCTTCCAAAATTGTCAGCTTTGGGCACACCAAGCAGCCCCACAACCTGATCACGTGTATCCTCCATGGTATTCTGACTAAAAGAGATATTGAATTTATGGAAATATAATTATCTAAGCGTATTATATTCGAATTTTTATTTTTAGATTACGAAAAAACTTCGCAAACATTATTTAAAGGTAAGTCTCACATCTATGTATTATCTTGTAAAGAAAAAAGATAAATCATTGTACAAGACCATGTGTTACAAAAGAAGGTGTTGGCATAATTGTAAGATTCCTGGAATGGCAAGAAAATCATCTTCACTCTCCCAAGGAAATCTAAATCGTGTAAAGTTTTTCCTTTTTGTTGGGGAAGAGTTTATGTTTTAGGATTTTTCCTTTTTGTTGGGGAAGAGTTTATGTTTAAAGTTTTTCTTAAAGGGAAATAATTTAATCGACCACAGTGGGAGTTGAACTCAAGACCATCTGATTCAAAGTCAGACGCGCTAATCCACTGGGCTATGCGATCGTACTTATATACTTGTAAACTAATATTGTTAATTTAGAATATTTAATCATTGTTGTCAACAAGTGCACGTATATGTCGAATATACGCCGCGCAGTGCATATACAATATATCTTTTGATAACACTTGAGACCTTGTACGATATATTAGTTGCGGCCTATATATACATTTTTATAAATTATATTAAGTTATGAACTGTATAATTTTAAATTTTATAATATTATAATTATAAAATAAAAATATGACAAATAAATTATATTAATGTTAAATACAAGTTAAAAAATTATAATTATATCACAATTTACAAAATTAAAATATAATTATCTTTTTTGAAAGCCAAAAATCATTGTGGAATTAATTACGAAGCTAGAAAGAAGCCAGGGGGGACATAGTCCCAACACATAGTGTTAGCATGAAAAAGCAACCCTTTTATTTCTACATATAAACGATGGCAGGCCCAAATACCTTCTAAAATTGTCAGCGTTGGGCACACCAAGCAGCCCCGCAACCTGATCACGTGTATCCTCCGTGGTATTCCTAGTAAAAGAGACATTGAATTTATGGAAATATAATTATCTAAACATATTATATTCGAATTATTATTTTTAGATTACGAAAGAACTTTACAAACATTATCTAAGGGTAAATCTCACATCTATGTAATATCAAGTAAAGAAAATAAGATAAATCATTGTACAAGACCATGTGTGACAAAAGAAGGTGTTGGCAGAGTTGTAATTCCTAGAATGGCAAGAAAATCATCTTCACTCTCCCAAGGAAATCTGCATGTAAAGTTAACGAGTCTGTTTGACCATTTTTCCTTTTTTTCCTTTTTGTTGGGGAAGAGTTTAATTTTACCTTTTTGTTGGGGAAGAGTTTATGTTTTAGGATTTTACCTTTTTGTTGGGGAAGAGTTTATGTTTTAGGGTTTTACCTTTTTGTTGGGGAAGAGTTTATGTTTTAGGTTTTTATTAAAGGGAAATAATTAAAGCAACCACAGTTGGAGTCGAACCTACAACCTTCTGATACAAAGTCAGACGATCTAATCCACTGCACTATGCGGTTATACATATATAATTTTAAACTAATCTTGTTAATTTAGAATATTTAATCATTGTTGTCAACAAGTGCACGTATATGTCGAATATACGCCGCGCAATGCATATACAATATATCTTTTGATAACACTTGAGACCTTGTAGGATATATTAGTTGCGGTCTATATATACATTTTTATAAATTATATTAAGTTATGAACTATATATTTTTAAATTTTATAATATTATAATTATAAAATAAAAATATTACATATAAATTATATTAATGTTAAATACAAGTTAAATAAATTATAATTATATCACAAATTACAAAATTAAAATATAATTATCTTTTTTGAAAGCCACAAATCGTTGTGGAATTAATTACGAAGCTAGAAAGACGCCAGGGGGGACATAGTCCCAACACATAGTGTTAGCATGAAAAAGTAACCCTTTTATTTCTACCTATAAACGATGGCAAGCCCAAATACCTTCAAAAATTGTCAGCGTTGAGCACACCAAGCAGCCCCGAAACCTGATCACGTGTATCCTACGTGGTATTCCTACTAAAAGAGATATTGAATTTATAGAAATATAATTATCTAATCATATTATGTTCGAATTATTATTTTTAGATTACGAAAGAACTTCGCAAACATTATCTAAGGATAAATCTCACATCTATGAAATATCTAGTAAAGAAAAAAGATAAATCACTGTACAAGACCATTTGTGACAAAAGAAGGTGTTGCCAGAATTTTCATTTTATATGATATTTGTATTTGTAAGATTCCTGGAATGGCAAGAAAATCATCTTCACTATCCCAATGAAATTGGCATCGTGTAAATTATGTCTAATTGCAAAATTTTAACTGAGTTCAAGTGTAATTGAACCATTTTAATGTGTTAGGGCCTAATTGATTTTTCATCTAAAGTTAATGAGTCTATTTGACCATTTTTCATAAATATTTCCTTTTTATTGGGGAAGAGTTTATATTTTGGGATTTTTCCTTTTTATTAGGGAAGAGTTTATGTTTTAGGTTTTTCTTAAAGATAAATAATTTAAGCGACCACAGTGGGAGTTGAACCCACAATCTTCTAATCTGAAGTATGATGTGCTAATCCATTACGCTATTCGGTCATACATATATACTTTTAAACTTGTAAGTGTAAATATGTTGCACGTTTAAACCTCTTAATATTGGCTTAGATTAGTTGTTAAAGTAGTTCTGGTTTAGTTGCTGGATTAGTCATAACGTCTGGAGTAGTTGACTAGATCAGCGCGAGAAAGTAATCCAGGAGGTATGAAGCTTCTTCAAATCATTTATTAAAGACCCTATCAACGAGGAGATCTAAATCTACTGGAGCAGCCGAAATCAAGGATGGAAAGAGTGCTTGAATTGTGGATCGAAGTATCCCTTACTACCTATATAAAATGCTACTTTGGTTAGCATTTTCCCATGCACTCTTTCACATTGGTTTTATTCTGAAATTCTTGGTTCATCTATACCAAATATATACTGTACTGTTGAGTGTGAAGAAAGGCCCGTAATCAGATTATGAAGCAATGAAGATCGCCTGCACATCGGATCCACTGGAGTAGGTTCTGGAGTAGTTATAGGTTATACTTTAGTGTGTAATAAACTCTCCTTTTGTATTCCGTTTTTATCATAGTGGATTTGGGTTGACGTGAGTGGCCCCGCAGACGTAGGAGTGAGGCTCCGAACTGCGTGAACATTTCCTGCTGCATGCTTTCTTTTACTACTATCTATTTTATGTTCTTTATTATATCTGGAGTATGATTGCATCTAGTCCAACTTTATAATTGAAATAAAATTAAATTCTTAAAGCAAAATCTTGCATTCAAGACTCACGTGCTCTTTCAATTGGTATCAAAGCTCGGGGGCTTAAGTTACTAGTCTAACCGATCTGGCTATCACGTGTTTTCTTAACTCAAGATCTCAGTATCTGGTTTATTTGCTGCTCACTGTGCATTGAGTCTTACAGCATGGAACGACATAGAGCACCTCCTGAACTAACAGGTGACAACTATGCGTACTGGAAGGCCCGCACCAAAATGCATCTACGAGCTCAAGGAGAGAGGGTCTAGATGGCTGTACTTACTGGTTGGTCTCATCCTACCAATTGGTTGGTTGCAAAGATGGAGACAATACAGGAGATCCTCCAGTCCTCAAACCAGAGGCAGAATGGACATAGACTGAGATGACCACCGCAAGCTACAATCATAAAGCGTTAGATACAATCTTTTCTTTAATGCATGAGAGTCAATTTACATATTATGTTCGAATTTTATTTTTTAGATTACGAAAGAACTTCGCAAACATTATCTAAGGATAAATCTCACATCTATGTAATATCTAGAAAAGAAAAAAGATAAATCACTGTACAAGACCATGTGTGACAAAAGAAGGTGGTGGCAGAATTTTTATTTTATATGATATTGCATTTGTAAGATTCTTGGAATGGCAAGAAAATCATCTTCACTCTCCCAAGGAAATCTGCATCGTGTAAATTATGTCTAATTGCAAAATTTTAAAGAGTTCAAGTGTAATTCAACCTTTTTAATGTGTGGGGGCCTAATTGATTTTTCATCTAAAGTTAATGAGTCTATTTGACCATTTTTCCTAAATTTTTCCTTTTTGTTGGGGAAGACTTTATGTTTTACGATTTTTCCTTTTTGTTGGGAAGAGTTTAAGTTTTAGGTTTTTCTTAAAGGGGAATAATTTAAGCGACCACAGTGGGAGTCGAACCCACGACCTTCTGATCCGAAGTCAGACGCGCTAAATCACTGCGCTATGCGGTCATACATATATACATTTAAACTAATCTTGTTAATTTAGAATATTTAATCATTGTTGTCAACAAGTGCACGTATATGTCGAATATACGCCGGGCAGTGCATATACAATATATCTTTTGATAACACTTGAGACCTTGTACGATATATTAGTTGCGGCCTATATATACATTTTTATAAATTATATAAAGCTATGAACTATATATTTAGATATATAATAATATTATAATTAAAAAAAAATTACATATAAATTATATTAATGTTAAAAACAAGTTAAATAAATTATAATTATATCACAAATTACAAAAAAAAAATATAGTTATCTTTTTTGAAAGCCAAAAATCATTGTGAAATTAATAACGAAGCTAGAATGAAGTCAGGAGGAACAAAGACTCATCACATAGTGTTAGCATGAAAAAGCAATCCTTTTATTTCTACCAATAAACGATTTCAGGCCCAAATACCTTCCAAAATTGTCAGCGTTGGGCACACCAAGCAGCCCCGCAACCTGATCACGTGTATCCTCTGTGGTATTCCGACTAAAAGAGATATTGAATTTATGGAAATATAATTATCTAAGCATATTATATTCGGATTTTTATTTTTAGATTACGAAATAACTTCGCAAACATTATCTAAAGGTAAGTCTCACATCTATGTAATATCTTGTAAAGACAAAAGATAAATCATTGTACAAGACCATGTGATGAGGACAACCAAAGGCTCAAAGATCAACATACAAATAAGAGAAGTCACAATTACAAGTTCAAAAGCTAAGAAATTGCGACGGGTTATAAATGGATTAATCCATGCAATTTGCCAAAAATAAGTGAAGAATTAATCTAAATGGTCCAAATTTTCGTGGCTGATTGGGAGAATTCAAATGAAGCTAAACTCAATCCATTAAGGCAAATAAATTCTCATTTAGTATAGTTTTAATATTATTCATGTGCTATATTTATTTTATTTTAGGTTACATGTCTAGGATGAATGAATATCATTCATTGTCTTGTAATAGAGTCTTTTGATCTCCATAAGAGTTATGTATTAGCCTATTTAAAGGCTACACAGTCAGAATTTTAAAAGATAGAGATGAATGAAGTTGAATGAAAGAAATGCTAAGGCATTTTGTTTTCTCTCATGTGATT